CCCCGGACTGGGATTTGAACCAGTGACCTTCTTGCTGAGAGGCATCAGCTCTACCAACTGAGCCACCGTGCTGCCCGTCCGCCTAACCAAGTTTTAAAATCTTATATCCAGCCAAAAAAGTCTTTTTGATCTTGTTTTGAGACTGATTTACTAAACAAGAACGGATTATGTAAGAATAATAATCTTAGTTTCAGAATGTGTCAGATTATTTGTCTTGTTCGCCTGAAAAATTGACTCAAATTAATCAAAATTTCTGCCAATGAAGTAAGAAATTTTTACTTGGTAAGATTCTTGAAATAAGAAAAATTGAGTCAAATCAAGTATTTCAAGAATCTTACCAAGTAAAATTTCCTTACTTCACTGGCTGAAAATTTCGACATAATTTGAGTCAAATTTTCAGGCGAACAAGACAAATAATCTGACACATTCTGAAACTAAGATTATTATTCTTACACAATCCGTTCTTGTTTAGTAAATCAGTCTCAAAACAAGATCAAAAAGACTTTTTTGGCTGATATAAGATTTTAAAACTTGGTTAGGTGGACAGTTTTTGCAGTGTGACTACCAGTCAAAAGTTTGGCCACACCTTATCATTCAATGTCCCTATTCTTTTCCTCTTTTGCCTACATTGCAAATCAACATCAAAATCCAGACTGTGGAAAACCAAAATACAATATGCTCCAGATTGTAGACCACTCAAAGCAGCCGTGCACACTCTTGGCATTCTTTGGAACTAAGTTTGTTTGGAAAACCATTCCAATGGTAAGAACCTGCACAGTTAAAAGCAAAATGTGCCCAACATGAATAATCTAAAATCTAAAAACTGGTTTGCTCAACACCTCCAAATTCACTATATGGCCTATCGTAGTCTGGATGACCCCACACCAACACACAATGTAAGACAAGAAAAACATAAAAACATGAGAGAGTGTGTTCAAACAGTTGACTGGTAGTGGACATGAACAACATTTCTGTGACAAAATCATACAGACACAAGGAGGAAAGCAGACTGAGCTGTTTGTGCTAGGAGTTTGTTGCTTCACTGATCCATCTTCATGTCACATAGTGATTTTTCATTGAGATTCGCACACTTAGGCCCGGGAGACATTCCTCCCCAAAGATGCTTTCTGTTCCCATGTCATAATTATTCCTCATGCCCCAGGGTCTCCTTCACATGGGCGTGTCAAGAAAACCTTTTAAAAAGGAAGCTCCGGAGGCATCCTGATCAGATACCTGAACTACTGGCTTTTCAAGGAAGAGGATCAGCATCTCAAAAATTACAAAAAAATAAAATAAAATAAAATAAAAATCAGAGCTATTAGTTCTAGTTCAATGTAAAAACTGTTGTTGTTGTTGTTGTTTTTTTCAACAGCATATTTGTTTTTTCAGCAGTGAACAGCTGTTTTTGTGTTTTGGGACAGCTTTGAAAATTTTTGCTGGTCCTGTGAATAAACAACTTGGCGTAAAGTTTTAGGGGACAAAAGCCTTCAAGGGGTTAAATTTTCTAAAAACTGTCACATGATGAACTCTGACTTAACTAAACTGATGCTAATTCAATCCTCTCCAGATTCTTATTGTCAGTGTTGCAAGTTTTAAATATAGGCCCAAACAAGATATTGAACAGAATATCAATAATCAAATTACTTAATTTGATTCTGTTCAGTTGTCATTTACATGTTAAGGTGTGACTAATCCATTGGGACAACACTCTGATTCACTAACATCTGATTTTTCTACTGCAGTGTACCGTTTTTTCCCCTTATTGACCTGCTGCCAAAAGACAGTATTACCATACCATTCAATACCATACCATACCATACCATACCATACCATACCATACCATACCATACCATACCATACCATACCATACCATACCATTCCATACCATACCATACAATACCATACCATGCAATACCATACCATACCATGCAATACCATGCCATACCATACTATACCATACCCTACCATACCATACCATACCATAACATACCATACCATACAATACAAAACCATACCATACCATACCATACCATACCATTCCATACCATACCATACAATACCATACCATGCAATACCATACCATACCATGCAATACCATGCCATACCATACTATACCATACCCTACCATACCATACCATAC